TTTATTTATTTATTTATTTATTTCTGTAATTACTTGAGCTACGTGCATGTATTAAATGTGGTTTTGAATTAAATTTTCCACACCACACCAGACATACACATAATAGTCTTTTGTTTGATAATACAACATTCAAACTTGGCTATATATAAATTATTTAGATATGCTTGTAATGTACATTGTATGATTCCAATCATTCTGATTGGGCTTTTACTTTGATTACAAATAATTGCTCTTTAGAGACATACAAAACAGATTCCATATCCATTAAAAAAGAATTGTTGCCTGTCGAACTAATAAGCCTAATGGAAATGGATAAGACTTTTATTTATCTGTTTATTTTATTTTACCATGACTTGTATAAGTTCAACTTCACTGACTGTGGTAAAATTTCAAAACTGCATCAAGCATCATGATATTTTGGGATGGACAGTAGGCTTGTAAAAACATTCAAAATGACAGAAAAAAAATGTCATGCAGGATCTCTCACTTACCACCCATTTAGATTATGTTGCCATTTGGAAAGAAGGGGAAGGGGACAAGAATTAACCAGTTAAGATATACTGTGGGACTGATAATGGATTGATTACCTTACATGTTTATGAACTCCTGTATTCTGCCTTCACAAGCAAATGTTTGCCATGAGAACAGTACACTAATAGCCAACTATCTGAAGTGAGTTGTGCCCTCCCTCTGCCCCCCCTCTGTTGTTTACATGTGAATTTATGCCATATTTCCATGTGCCAACTTAATATAATCCTTATATGTTCTTCCATTCTCCGTTTCTTACACCACTCAAGAGCAAGGAGGCAAATCAGCTGGCCACTCTAGATCCCATCTGACAACAAATGCAACATCATGTTTGAAAGTCTCCTTGTTCCAGTAACTTAAAATTGGGTGCAATCCATTGTCGATGACTTTTGACCCTATTGCAACTCATTCAATCATTCACGCATCATTCAATCAGAGATCCCTGACCTGCTGTCCATCTACACCAAGCGGTGCAAGTCCAAAGCTAGGAAGATTATGATGGACCTCTCCCATCCCAACAATGGACTCTTCTCACTGTTGAGGTCTGGGAAGCGCTTCCGCTCCCTTAAGGCCAAAACAGAGAGAATGAGGAGGAGCTTCTTCCCCCAGGCTATTCGGGCCCTGAACCAGGTGTAGCACTGGACTCTCCCACACACGTCACTATAAGACTGGACTCTCACACACATCACCACACGCGCCACCACACATTTCCTATAATCCTATAATTCATAATCTTTATAATCTCTTCTGCTATTTGCACATTTTTTTACTGTAAATTCCTAAGTTAATTTGTAAATTGTAAATATTGTAAAACTTTTCTTCTGTCATTTAATGGTCGGGCATTGTACAGCTACAAGCATTTCACCCCCATGTCATACTGTGTGTGGTTGTGTGTGTGTGACAAATAAAATTTGAATTTGAAAAAATTTGAACTATTTTACATTTCTTAAAATATATGGGGAAATTTTACTGATCTTCTGATTTACTGGTATTTTTAAAACAACAACACAAATGTCTCACAGGTTTTAAATTGCAGAGTTGCACTGTGAATGTAAATAATGCGGTATCTATATTACTAGTTACTTATGGATTCTTACTGCCATTAAAAAAGCAAATGTTGTCTTACCATCGATGATGTCGTCTGGCCTCTTGCGTTTCTCATACACAACGATGATGACTACTAGGATTATAATTTCTGCCAGAACACCCAGAAAAGGCCAAAGTGGTGCAAGATGGCTGCGGACTCGAAGAATTGTAGTCTGAGCATTATTTCCAATTGCATTAGTGGCATTGCATTCATATATTCCAGGATCCGTGTTAATATCCAGGTTTAGTATGTTGAGCTCTGTGTAATTGTCTCTATTGGTGATGAAGATTCGCCCAGTCGAGTTGTCAAGCTCCTGCATTGAAACATAATGACCATTTAATTTAGTTGAACTGCAAGCATGTCCAAAAACCTACCTATCGTGCATACCTGTTGTACCTTTATATATTTGCATTTATATTATATTTATATTGAATTTCTCATCGTTCTTAAACCTGTCGGTCTGTTTCACAGTCAATTTTTATCATTTTAAAAATTATGCAATATATAGCGGTGCCAGTTTAGCTCAGTGGGTCCGCAGGCAACCACACGCTCCATGGCTGGAGAGCGGCGGCCTGGGTTAAAATCCGACCTGGGACCCTTTGCTACATGTCCCTCCCCTCTCTCTGTCCAAAAAATATATCATTTTTATAAAGATGCAATATATATGTATACATATATTTATATACCATTGGGGATTTTCCATCCATCTTACGCCATGTCCAGGTGGGATGTGGGTAACCGACAGACTTGCAGTAAAGCGTTGCATTCTCCCCCTCATTTTTGTTTTCACTTCGCTTGTGGCCAGTGATATCCGGTTTTGCTGAAAAGGTCATATAAATTAAAAAACAATATTGATGTAAGACATTCAATGCAACATTTAAACCTCTACCAGATGGCATAAATGAGGATTACATAGATTCCTATTTCGGTATTTAGAGGCTAGTGTACTCTAAGATTGGATTAATTCCTTCAGTTTCTTCTGAAATTTTCTGAAAGATTACAGGAAGACATTTGGGAAAAAAAAGTCTTACATCACTTTGTATTTTACATTTCAAGCTTGCATTTTTCTCCTTAAGTAGCGGTTGATCTGGTATGCTAAGGTAAATGGTTATCTGCAATATATTTGCCAGTTAACTCTTTTGATTACTCTTTTTTTTTCATTGCCATGCAATCAAAACGTTGTGGATTTAGATTTTTTTATGATTAAAAATGTTGTTAAGACACTGGAAAATGTATCTCACACCCTTTCAGCCTAAATATGGAAACAAACTAACCACCTGTGACTCTTCAGCTGGGCAAACATTGCAATAAAATAAACCCTATGTGCAAAATAGCATTTCAGTCAGTAGAATAGAGGTTTGCAAAGAAATACAGCTTTTATCAAGAAGTGCCATTTTTGATGTTTAGTTATTTTGTAAGCATGTACTCTACTCCCAAACACGCATTAGAGAATATCACATTGGAGCAGATAAAAAGCAGTAGGATATAATTCATAAAGGAACATGGTTATCAGTATGATATGAGTGCCTCCAGATGTTTCCATTCAAAAAACTCTTCAGTGAATTCCACAAAAAAATGTGCAAATTGCCTCTGACTAATGAATTAACTGATAATGAAAATTAAACAGGGGTTATGAGCTTAATAAATTCAGGCATATGCCATAAAGCACTGCAACACGTGCCAAGTCATACTGATATATGAAAAGAAGTCTTTCTAAAAGGTGAAACATGAACTCTCCTTTTAACTCTCCACAGCATCAAGAAAATAGCTGTTCCTTTTTTTTTTTTTCACTAATCCTCAAAAATTACAATGATTCCTTCCATGCAATTAAGCAGGATAAGAGAGGCCTGGAGTGAGCATTTTTCAGCTGCGCATGGATGGAGCAGGAGGGGTCTGAGCTCTTCTGTGACATCATCCCACTCTAATTATGGAGCACACGTGCTCCCTCAGCAGGGGAGTGGTTATGCTCATTTGTGCCTTATCCTGACTGTATTATGTCAGTGACTGACAGCACTGAGACAGCCCTCGGAGTGGTGCAAAAACAGACAGAAACCTCCATTTCACACTCCTGACTGTGATTATTAATCTCTGTGTGCTAGACACAGGTAACACATGAACGTGAGAGGTCTGTGTTAGAAAGAGCAATGTCATAGAAAAATGTTAAAAGTTGGTCAGGATAGTAGATGTTAAATAGTTTTAAATCTTTGTTTAGTTCGCTTTCTAATTATAATTTTACCTACAGCACAGATTGTGACTCTCGATTTCTGCATTGTCAATTTCTCTTGAGGAAAGGGATCAGGATTCAAATTAAGACATTTCACAGGAGAAATGTGCTTAGAATTTAAGGAAATTTGTGAAATACGAGGTACCAAATATGTATCTGTGGTAAGCTTAGTGTCACAGACAATAAACTCTACTCCTGCCACAGAGATGGCTGGGACCGGATTCAGAGCCTTAATCCTACAACATCACAGAACCCTCCATCTGTTGCCTCTGAGCTGAGTCCTGCAAGGATGAGTGTGCCAAGGACACTGTAGGCGAGGGATCTCAGTGAACTGCTGCCAGTAGTGCAGTGCAAAGCTGGCTTGCTTAACAGTGGGCTTGCTACCTGGGTCACAAGAGATCTCAAACACCTCTAGAAAATCACAAAAACAGTTAAGAACTGAAGAAAATTCTTTATCCAGCAATGGTACTCACACTGGACACCAAAATGTTTGGCTGTTTAAAATATATCTGAAAATTGAATGGAAAAAATAATAATAATGAGCATATGATGAAGTCTTTTCATCAGCCCACTGATTTTTCTTCCAGGACAGATAGCAAGCTTCAAAAGTCAGAGGCCTGCAGTCCAGTGATGGCTAGGACACTTCAGTTTGAATAGTGATGTGTCCCATCATCTCACGATCCAGTGCAAGCAGAACACACACGGTCATCATCCATGTTATGTAATCAGGCAGCGCTTTAAGACAGCCACAGAGTAAGAGGCAGGGCATGCTCAGTATGCACCATAGCCATGCCACAGCAAATTGGCTTAAGCACTACACACAGGCAAGCTTCTCTTGAAGAGGGTTTCACTTGCCCTTACTCAATCCTTTATTCAAGTTGATGGCTTCACTGTCAGCTTGAATGAAAGCAACACAGTTGTTCTCTGGTTAGCTTTCCTGCTGTTAATGACCTAGTTCATTTTCATAATTTTCTCTACTGTTGATTCCATCCAAAAAAAAACAAACCCTCAAAACAAACAAAAAAACAATCATATTAACCAGTTTTTTAGTAAACTGTATATAAGGATGCCTCCAAGTGGGCTTTGTGATTTGCATGTTTTGGAGAGCATGTGCAGTGCCTGTCCATTTTGCTAGAGTGTTGTCTCAGTGAAAGCCAAGACTGACAGCAGCCTCAGGAATACTCCCTGTCATCACGACTGCACTGGATGAATGCAAACACCTTCGTAAACTTGGGCTCTCTTTACAGAGCTTTAGGTGGTTAATGTTTTTAGGTTACATTCACTCCCCCATCTCTCAATGGGAAACCACAAATGGCATTACCATGTCATCATGCAGTGAGCTAAAATGTCAGTGCTTTCTCAAAATCTGAATACACCAGGGAGGAAGTCAGCTAACATTATTCAATCATGTCATGTTTGCTAACATCAAGCAATCTTATTCTTGTCTTACTGACTTGTTTTATGACATGTAGAAATCATACCTTTTACTTCAATCGTAGCGTTGGCATTTGGTGCCGTGTCAAATGTGTAAACACACATGTATTCCCCAGAATCGTCAGCACGCGGCTTGTTGATTCTGCAACAAAAATATAACAAAACCAATTATTCCATACCACCAGTCACTTACCAGTAACTTACACTTTAAGCAGTCAAGTAATGTAAAATAATTCCAGGTTAACTTTAATAATTAGTTTACTGAACTGCAGCAGTAAAAGCCCAGAAGGCCATTGGAGACAAATGTTGGCATTATGCTGTTATATTACGGAACAGCAGCTCTGCATACTGCAGAGAAGGGCACCATAGGCATTTTAGCTGTACTCTTCAGTGTATTACTGATGTAATGTGACAAGGAAGTGACCAATTGGTCTTATCTTGTGGCTAGAGAGAGTCTGTGGTATGTCTTTGGGGGCGACAGTAGCTTTGTGCTCCAATGATTATACTGTGTGACAACAGGAAGCAACAACTAGTTGGTACTTTAGGCTATAATAAAGGTTTCACTTTTTCATTTCTAAATAAACGCAGAGATATGATTTAAGATTGATTTAACGCAGTGATAAGCTTTAAATGGGAAGTCAGAAATGAATTTCAACCCAGGTTTCAATAAGTAATTGTAAAATATTTGAAAACAAGCACATACAGAAGTCTGAATTACCTGGATTCTCAAGTTAAATTGAGAATAATTAATACTGTCTCTTTGTATTTTTGAGTAAGACTGTATGTACATTTTAATTTTAATGTAGTTCCTGTCTCTTCTTTTTCTACAGAAACTCATCACAAACAGTCACACTGACTGTTTTTTGTAGGACAGGAAATGTCACTACACTGTGGTTTACAACTGAAACTCTGTACAACAGTCACCTTTCAGGCTTAGACCCTAATTAGCGTAAGACTTTGGCTTTGCAAGGTGCTGCTCTTCAAGCACTGCTCAAGTCCCCTACAGAGACAAATATGACAAGGCGAGATTAACTTGGCACTGTTTTTACTGGAATAATAACCTTCAGGTTACATGAATCATTTAGATAATTTGTAGGTGAATTCTCATTTACTTTACATTAACGAAATCACTTAATCTCATTACTTATTCTCTCCTACGCTGCACGTCCAACTTGGAACTAGGAGGAAAATCTTTGTGTCACCTGTATATTGTGTCCTTCTGTTCCGTCCGTGTGTTGGGGATATCCTGTCCATTTTTCATCCAGAAGCTTTCCTTGTGGCGTGTATGGGCAGTGGTGAGGTTACACTGCAGGATAACTTGTTTACTAGAGGTGTCTGCTGTTAAGATGGTCTGATCAGAGGCATTGATCTTTGGTTCTGGAAGACAGAGAGTCAAACCTTATCCCAGAACATAAGGCTCAAATCTGTTTCTATCCTTCCTCCCATGCTGTACTTGCTGTAGGCTGTATTCTGTTTTTATATGATCTGTGTAGGAGGGTGTCTATGAAGTGAAGTTCACATAACAAATAAACAAAAAGCATAATAGGACATGAAACCACCAGGATGCTCTGCGTATATTTTAATCTTGTGTATAGCAATTATCCACAGTACTACCTGAATGTTTCATTTGTTTACAGCAGTAAAATGAAGGCTTAACTGATCTACCCAGGTAAAATTTGAATTGTGGCTCTCACACTGTGTTCTACTAACACGGACACGTTTTAACTGACATCTGCAGTAAGGTTAATTATAAAGCTGGATGGTGTACCACCCAAATTCCTGATTAAACTACTGCCAACTTGTCTGAAAACATCATCACATTATATGTACCTGATGATCAGGGGCCTCAATCATAACCAGCATGTAATCACAAAACATAACTTGTGCATTGCACAAAAGTTTAGACACTTCATCACTGAAAAAAAAAAATCAGATTAATGATCGACAGTGAGTGTTCTCGGGCCAGTAGTGTTGTAAACTGTTTGTGCTTCATGATTAACCTATTCTTAAACTTGACTTTTTCTAGAGGTAACCCTGAGTATGACTGTTTTTTTAAGAGCTGTTGCAGCTATTAGCCTCTTAAACTTTGCTGAGCTTGCAACCTAACCCATATCCACAGGAAAAAATATATACATAATTAGATGGTTTGCATTAACCATATATGCTTAATTATGGAAGTGTAACATATGACATGAGGCCACATTTTTCAGTTAATTGTGATCTACAGTCTTACAAATGAGACATCGGAGATAATAATTTACATAAGTGAACAGACCTTTTGACATTATGGAGCTGAATGTATATGTAGACGTTTAAATAGCTAACCACACTGGTTACCAAACAATACCAGGGTCAATTCTTCAAGGACAATCAGGGAAGGTGTCATCCGAGAGCGAGGTGCCCTTTGCTCTGCCTTGAGTAGTGAGCGAGAAGCTTCCTCTCCACTGCCCCTCCTCCTCCTCCCGGGCTGGCCAACCATGGCAACAATGGAGCCCCCGAGGGGAGGAGCAGAGAGGAGAAGCATCATAATCCTACTACTGGCTGCTTCTGCAAGGCCACTAGCAAGGCAAAAGGAGAGAGAGGGGAAAGAAGGGCTACTGAGACTAGCAATTGACTTCTGTTAGCATTTGTGGTACCCTCTTGCTGTAATCCTGTACACTCAATAGCTAAGGGGAAGTCTCTCCCCTCCCCCCTTATCTCTCTCTCTCCCCCACCAAGCAGAGCCACGTGAACTATTAATAGTATTTTCGAGTCATGCGTACAAACGCACAACATGAGGTACATAAATTAACATTTAGCAAACACGGCACAATGGTCCACAGGCAATTTAACCAGAGGTTGTTTGTAGGACACCTTGTCAGTACTTAAAATCTGGTAACTACTGGATAATATATTGTCATACCAGAATGTAACCAAATCACAAAACCTAGTCTTTTCCTCTGGCAGCTACTCTAATACAGTGCTACTTTGAGGTTGGATGGTTAGATCAAACTGATTGGCAGATACTTGACAGATCTGTTTTAATTTTTAAGTAGCTTTGGAGTTTGCCAAGATTTATTAAATCAAATAATCTTAACAGCTTAGACATACTAATCAACTTAGCAGTGGCTGTGTCACAGTTGTGTTGTGTCATTTTAAAGGGCAGGGCAGGCCTCATAACTTCTTTGTAGCATATTAAAACAGGAAAGGTGCACCGTCAAGGAAAACCACATTCTGAGCATGTGGTGGAGCTAAATGCTCTTAAGAACTCAATAACAATAACAATAATAATAGTAATAACAATAATAATATTTCTTTGCAATTCGTACCATTATGACAGTTAGGATGCTACCTTGCTTTCTGGGTGTACAGTATGTCTGCGCTCAAAATCCAGTGAGATTTGTTGTGTGTAGTTAGCTTTAGTGATACTCCACACAAGATCTATGTTAAGCTATCTGAGTATGAAACACTCAACCGTTGAAATGCTATGGAAAAGATTTATGTTTTGTATTTTGTTTTGTTTTTTTAGAGGAAAAAAAAAACTTTAATTTGAATTGGTAGTGGTCAAAATTATAAAAACAAAAAAGTATTTTTATGCAGCTTTTATGCTCAAGCCACTCCAGCAGAGTAAGTCCTTTATAATGCAAAACTGATGTATTTAGCCATATTTTGGTGTGTGTGTGTGCGGGGGGGATTTTTCCAGATATTCTGATATTTTTCCCAATGTGACAAACTTTACTATTGGGTTTGTAAGTTACATGAATTGCAATGTAAGTTACAGTTAAAGAACAGCATTTTGGGATATATACTCATTCGCTTTCTCATTGAGAATCAAATGAGAACATACAAACCACTTTCATGTTGGTGTAAAATATATGAAGCTACAGACAGCTGCCAAGCATAAAGATTATCTACCAATAACTAGTTTTGTAAATACACTCAGTTAATTGATGAGGTTGCAGTTACTGCCTTTTTATGTGAACTTGGAAGCAGGTGTCAGCTTTAGCCTTTCTGCTTTTGTTTCCATTTGAAGCTAAGCTAACTGGCTGTAGCATTCATCATAGTCACATGGGTGGCATCAATATTTCCCAAATGGCTATTCATTTGTTATGAACCCAAAAAATATTTGAGTGTTTCATAGCTTTGGGTACAGTATCACTTTAAACACATGTTAATTAGGCACATACACAATAACAAATGTATCTGCAGTAGATTTTGTTTTTTTCAGTAATTAAAAAAAGCCTTGTAGCTCAAATCAAATACTGCATATATATTTACATATTTAGATCTTTTTGGCATATTCTCTGGAGTGATGCACATTAACAAAGTAAATTAAGGGAAAAAGGGACCAAAACAAAAACAAGACAACCAGACTGTTGCACATTTCCTGAGTGACAAACTATTGCTAGGCTATAATGTATAGCCTGTAATATACATGTAATATTTGCATACTACATGTATATGGATAAAACATTTACTCCTCAGTAATGACAGAATATATTTAGGACCTGAAGGATTTGGAGAGAAAATAACATGCAAATAACCCAAGTGAACTGCTAACCACAACCCTAGTGCCCTTTTCACCATTTTGAATGAGGGCGTAAATTAAATCAGCCCCAATCCTAACAAATAGCACTCACACGTGAATCAAAATATGTCAGTCCAATCAGAAGAGCCAGCAAAAATCAGACTCATCTAAACTTTTCCGATAGCTTCACTGTGACTAACAACATTCCACATGTCCCTGTGCTCTAGTGGGCAGAGCACTGAAGCATGCACAGGATAGAAGGGTCCAGTTAAAACTCAGTTTGTATGACTGTTTGAGTGAATTGAGTAGAGGGTTAAAGGATATAATGTCATTACTGATTCACAGTCACACTCTTCATGGCTGAGAAGGCACAAGGTAACACATTGCACAGGGAGGTCCAGAGGGGCTGTTGTGTACAAGTTAAGTCTGTCTCATCTGGAGAGAGACATGCACAGCTCCCTTACATTTCCATCCTTTATTGGATTACCACACACAAATTTGAAAGCAGAAAATGTTTGCTTTTATCAGGAAGGAGTTGACAGCAGGAATCACTGTTTTACACCTTAGCAGAGCCCTCCTTGTGTCTTCTTTCAGTCTCATTTGCACCGTGCCCAGAGTGAGAAAGCCAAATGAAAAGCACCATTACTTCAAAGCACCGCTAGATTTCCACTGCATTTAGCAGGCAGGTCTTTGAAGTAAACAAAACAAGCCACACAATGTAAGAGACACAGCTTAATGTTAAAGCAATAAGTATCACAAATAAATTTAGGAATAGGAAATGGGTCGGAATTAGGATACAGAGAAATAGATAATGATCAAAATATTGTAAAAGGACAAATGAGACAGTAAGAACAAAGGTTTGCTGCAGGTAGAAAGAAGAAAATGCAGATTGAGACTGGGTAAAGTTCCTGGGTTTGTGGTTATTTACAACAAGATGCTCAATGGATTTTGGGAAGACAGGGAATCTAGTGAACAGAAAGAGAACAGAAATATTTACCAAATCTAATTTAATATTAATGAAAACAAAACACAAAAAGGAAGCCATTTATACAATTTGAATTTTTTTTCTGTTAAGAGTTATAAAGTTATAAATCAAGTTAAGAAAGGAATTTGAATAATGTTGGGTTTTTTTTCATTTTTTTTCAAGCCTGGCCAGTGACTGTTGCAGTGAGGGTGAGCTCTTGAGAGGTTTTAACAGCCTTGAGTGGTTGGGAGTGGGGATTTGTAGTTTGTTGACCATCTAGATACTATGGGACATAGACCACTCACTCTGTAGCACCGAAATGGTGGCCTGGGCGCGGATCCAAGTGATGGCTGGGTTTTGTCGGAGGTCATTGCGCCTGGGGTCGTTGCTTGCCCGACATTCATAGGTCCCAGAGTCCTCCAGTGTGAGGCGTGTGATACCGAGCACACTGACTCCATTGGTGCCGTAGGCTGTGTTGATAGATACCCGACGTTTGCGGGCTCCGTCCCACAGCTGCTTGAAGGAGTCAGCTCGGTTGACCTCAGCATACCACCACTGGATCTCTGGAGTGGGGTAACCGACCACCTCGCAGTACAGCTCAAAGGTGTCTCCTGTAAGCTTAGTCTCTGAGAGTGGAGACTTGACAAACCCAGCTAGAGAGGAAAAGCGTATCAGGATGGCAGGGAAGGAAAGGGTAGAAGAGGGTTAGAGCAGAAGGAAGGCATGGAAAGGCCAAGGAAAAGAGAAGGAAATTAATAGGATCAGAGAACATATAAACAAAAGAGAGGATGATTAAAGGCAAATCAAAAAGCAGCAAGCCTGAAATTATTGATAGGTTAAAAAAAAGGTTAATGATTCTGTAAATCCAGTCCATTCAACGTCAAGGTTCCCTGGCCCACTTAAGGCCAACTGTCACACAAAGTCATAGTCAACCAGTCGCAAAACAGTGCCAGCTGCAAATAGTGCTTGATATCTTGTTTGCCTTTTCTTTTTGTCTCTTTCACACGTAACCATACGAAGATATGGGATGTACCTTTCATGTGTATATTCTTGAACAAAAAGACAACATCAGTACATTAAATGCAGTCCATAGACACAAGAATATGGAGAAGGGGAACTGTTCACCTAGTGCCATGTACCTTAATCATTTTTTTAATGGCTTGTTTGCCAATTGAACAATGACCTAACTCTATTTTCAGCTATTGTGTCCTAGTAGTCAGGGCATCACACCTATTTGACAACATTAAGGTGAACATATCATGTTATATGTATTTGGTACTACTGAATGCAAACACTGTAACAAATCCAAAACAGATTTTTCAAATGCAATGATCAAGAAAGGTTTACCTTGAACTCACTTTTCATGCCACCCTGTCAGAGGAAGAAATGATATTTAACTGTTGAACTCTCAAACGAAATAACAAAATATTGGAGATTTAACCGTTGCATGCAGTTATTACCTCCAACAAAGATTTTAGCTTGTTAGTTAGACAAGTATCATGAATAAATAAAAATATCAGTTTCCTATAACCATCGATTTGTTTTCCAAAATCACTGATCTTTTTTTTAGGATCATAGGTTGCTGGAGTCTATCCCAGCACATGTTGGCTGAGAGGTGAGGTGCAGCCAGTCTGTCACAGGGCTAACACAGAGACAGACAAACATATTCACACCCCCTTTCACACTCAGAGGGTATTTACACCAGTTCACAAAACATGTATGCCACTGAACTGTAGGAGGAAATTGAATATACGTCAGATTGTGTGTGCTCCACTCTTAGCAATGCAACAAGCACTAATGCTTGTAAATGAAATGATTTTTTTTTTGTATTTTGTAAACATTTAGCATGGAAAGTAATAAATAAAAGATCTGCCTTTGTCAATTTTCATATTGCCTATGTAAAGTACTTCACCAAAATTGTCCTAAATAAATGTAACTGTATGTATGCATTATAATCTCTTTTCATCCATATCAGCTCTTCCTGCTAATGCTAGAAATTAGGTCAGGCTGCTTACATTTTGGATAAGCTAGACTTTAAGAGCAGGTTTTCAAAATTCACATATGGTCACAGTGGTATAACACAGTCTGAGTTCAACTAGCTTTTCCATCGTAATGTGAAACTTGAATATGCCCTCATCTCTCCAATACTGGTATGCGATCTCCCAAGTCTGCCGCTCAGACAGACTGCCTGACTGTCTTTGTGTGTTATATACGAAACATGAAATATGGTGAATTTCACAAAAAATTCCATAATCCACCCGTGGCATCCATAGGCATGGATCTGTGCCTGATTCACAACCCTGTTCCATGTCAGTAGTTAGCCCAGCAAAACACTGGCAGACTTAATGGACCCGATTTAATGACAAATCACCTGGGCCACAGACACTGTTCTCTGCTGGCCCTATAGCTTTGTCAGCTGTAAACCACACGTGCTTAAATCATTAGAAAAATACGCTGCCTTAACACTGCCCTCAATTCTGGTACAGGAAATGGGAATGAAAAGCCTTAGGTCTCCCGAGTGCTAGACTGTTTGTTGTGTCTAAATACAACGGCTTACAGGCCCTCCTAGATCTGTCTGTCCTCCTCAAAGTTATGTATCTTAGGCGCACGAACAGATAAGCTTGTAGAAGCCCAAGGAAGGAGTGTAACTGCAGTATTCACCCCCACAATAAATCCACTAATATTTCATTTAAAATATTTGATTTAAGGTTTAACTAACAGGTGAATGAGTAAAAAGTCCATTTGTATAATGCCAAAACACAAAGCATTTTTCAGGGCTGTTAGTTTAAAGGGAAAATTATCAATGTTTTAAGAAATTATGAATTTAATTTAATGAAATGATTTCAAGGGTGCTACCCAACAACTCCCTGGTTACATAAAGCCAAGCAAAAATAACATTTCTAATAGAAAATAAAATTTTTGAAGAGAATTTAGCAAAAATCTTTAAAAAAAATGCAGTCTTCCTGCTAGAGATGTGTCTGGGGATATTAGGTGCAACAACTATGTGCAATGCCTAGAGATATGCAGAGTAATTAGCATTTGTTTCTTTTCTCTGGAAACATCTGGGCCCATCAAGCTCACCACATTATCCCACAGGGTGAATCCTAGCCTTTCCACCTACACATTTAAAGCAATATTTCAGTATAACTGAACACTTACTATCTCACTCTCAGTAACCGGCTGTGTCACATGACACATACAACTAGAGTCATCCATGCATGAGATCACAAAATTATAGTATAACTACTCAAAAACATGATGAATGTCCTCCAAGGTGTAAAGAAACTGACGACTCAATTTAAATTCAAGCCCAGGGAGACTCTGGAGAAATACTCATAGAAACAAACTACACAAACACCAGGCCAATGAGCAGACCAATTTTCAAGTTGTTTAAACAAGGAGCTTACACTGGCAGTGAAAACAAAACGCAAAGCAGCCAGCTGGTACTTATTCATTTCAAATCATGTTGGGAGACGAGAAGTGACAGAGAATGGTGGTATGACTGGTGGAATGATCTCAGCAGCTTGGTGATAGCTTGGTGATAAACACATTTTGCAAAGCTGATTCCATTTTTATTGTAGTCGTGTAATAATAACCAGTATTTATATTACTAAGTAGGTGCTGAGAGCCTGGGGGGATACGATTTCAAATTTATACTTCTGCCTGTCCACAACTAAAAATAAAATGCACATACATTAAAGTTCCAACAATATAGAACTGAGAGTGTGAACTGCAGTTATGTGGAAATGACTTAACTTTTTAACCGTTATTTATTAATGTTAAGTCAAACAACATTAGAATTGCAAAACTTATGAATAAAATAAGTCTAAATTAATTTTATGCATTATACACCAATACTGCCTGAGGTTGGGTGTGGTCTAATTCCTCAAAATACACAATATTGAAAACAAACTTTGGTGCAAGGGACTTTGTGAACTTGCATCACATTAGAAAGTCAGATTTGCTGTTTGTGCACAGTGTATGCAAATAAAAAACAGAATATAACATGGTGTATATAACAGCCTGACATCTGGAATGATCTATCAAAAAAGTCTAACAAGAAGTAGACTCGTCTGTGAGGAGAGATCCTGTATGCTGCTCATCAGCTACTGAAGGCATGCAAATAAAGGCTCTGCTTATATTTCAGGCACTTGAAAGGTCTGCAGAGACTGCAGAAATGTTTACTCCAAAAATCTTTAGAGTATCATTTACATTCTGTCTGTAGGTTTTAAAGATAGCTCCGAAAACTGAGATGG